ATGCGTTGCCCAGGCAGCTGTGAGGGGTGGGGAGGGGCAGGAGCACGCACATGTGTGAGCACTTACTCGCGTGGGTATGAAGAGTGTTCATGTGTGTTCAGACGTGGATCTGCAAGTATATTAGCAGGCATGTGTTGGACAGGACCACCCTCCAAGCAAAACTGCCACCATCTTTGGGAGTTCTGCTGGCCTGCTCACAAAAGCTCAGCACAGCTGGCCTGTTGACCTGCCCTCTTAGAAGGAGGAGAGAGAGAGAGAGAGAGAGAGAGAGAGAGAGAGAGAGAGAGAGAGAGCGCGCGCGCGCGCGCGCGCGCATGGGACCCTCAAGCTGAGACTCCATTCAACCACTTGGAAGCAATTCTGCCCTAATTGCATATGGCCTTGGATTCCTGGGGTGGGAGGCTGAGGATTTAGGTGGAGAAGGATTATGGAAGAGGTTCTCTCTATAGAGTCATGGGAGAGTCATCATCCACATTTTCTAGTGTGGCTGCTTTAAGGTCGCCTATGTCCCTTTCTCCCTCACCTGTTGCTTGGTAAGTAAACCTAATAAACACATTGACTCCCAGGATGAATTCTGGTGGAATTGTACCTTTCTTTGTCATTGGAACCTTAGAAAAAGAGGTAGACATTGTTTATGTCTCTCCTAGAGAAGGAATTTTTATCAACAGCGTGTGTGTGAGCATGTATGTATGTGCCCATGTGTGACTATACATGTGTGGATGTGTACATGTTAGCTCATGTGTCTGTGCATGTACAATGTATGCATGTGTATGAGTTATGTGTGAATGTTTACATACATGTTTATGCATGTGTTAAGCCAATATTTTGAGAAAAGAAAATGAAATAACTGAGTGGCCTAGGGCAGGGCTATTCCTTTTCTGGAAAAATAGAAAAGTTCTAAGTTTTTAAAGTTTTTTTTTAAAAACATGGATTTTTTTTAAGACTTAAAATTGAGTTATTCAACTCAATTAAATTTTTAGCCAGGCAGTGGTTGTGCAAGCCCTTAATCCCGGCACTTAGGAAACAGAAGCAGGTAGATCTCCGAGTCCCAAGGCCAGCCTGGTTTACAAAGCAAGTTCCAGGACAGCTGGAGCTACACAGAGAAACCCTGTCTTAAAAAAAAAAAAATTAAGTTAAAAACAGCCACAAGAGTCCCATCTCCAGGTGTTCATTCCATCTCTGCTAACCCCTGGCGGGAGCAGGTAACAAAAAGAACATTAAGACAGGGCCCACCCCTCAAGGGACAAAGTAGAATTCCCTCCAAGAAGAACCACACAGTGTGGTATGGAGCCCCACACAGTGTCTGGAGGGGCCAGATGCTGGGGGAAGAACTGCACAGGATTCTAATCCACATCCTTCCTGGTGCTTTCATGTCCTGGTCATCTTCCCAGCAACCTTGGGATGGTTGTTTAGGATCTTATGAGGCATGAACTTCCTGCAGCCACCTGGGGCTGGAGCAGACTCTCCACCTGATCTGTCTAAAGACAGATGAGATCCGTGCCAGGAATCTCTATCCCTGCAAATCAATCACTCTGTCTTCTTTCTCTGCTTCCCCCACCCCTGTGCATGCATGCATGCGTGCGTGCGTGTGTGTGCATGTGTGTGTGTGTGTAAAGGTGGTCTTCAGAGGATGGATGTGACAGCAGCAAGACATCTCTTCAGAATTTTGTCCAGGACAAAGAGCAAGGCTTAAAGGTGTAGCTCAGCAATAGACCGCTTGTCTAGTGTAGCAAGGTCTGGATTCCACCCCCAGTATCACAGCCCCAAACCTCCCAACAGGGAATGAACAGAGAGACCAGCCATCCCAAAGACACTCTCCCCCTCACACACATTTACAAGTTGAACGATGAGCTAGCTTCACACCGTTCCCTCTGTAGAAGCAGTGAGACTGCAGCCACTGCACTCCAGCAGGCATTTGTCCTCCGGCCTCAAGGAGCTCCTGGTTCCTCCTGCCTGTGTCTTGCAACTCCTCCCAACACGTGAAAAGCCTCCTGCATTGTACAAGCTTTGGTGGCTCCTGCCCATCTCCACTGCTCCCACAAGTACTCCTGAAGTTGGGGGGGGTCCCTCCTCCTGCTTCCCATCCTGAGTGCCTCTACCTCCTGCCTTCAATGATCTCACCAACAAACAGACTGGCCTGCTTGAGTGCTCTCAGCATTTCCGCATCCCAGATTCCTGAGAGTGCCTGTGAGGGGTCTCCCTCCGACCACCAAGCAAAGGCCCTGAGGCAAGTTAGGACGGGAGTATTCAGCTCCTCTTACTAGCTCACTCCCGTCAGGCAAACTGCTAGCCTGGTATAAAATGAAGGTGGAAGGTGTCCAGAGGGGGCAGCTATGTGAGGAGGCTCCCAGAAGCAGGTGACAACATGGGCTAGGCTCTGATGGGTGCCTTTGCTTTCTAGGCAGAGGGCAGTCCTACTTAGCAAGGGAGAAAGCTGAACAGATGTTTGGGGGAATGGTATATTAGGATTGCTGTGAGAGGGGGCACACAGTCAGGGAAGGTGTGGCTAATGAGGAAGGTGGCACCCGGTTTCAGAGTTCATATCAGTAGCTCTTAAGTGGTTATGCTATCTCCACAAAGATTCAGGCTGCCGCCTCCTGGCTCTCATCTAACTGTCTCTGAAGTCCTCATGCTCCCTATGCTCCTGCTATGTCAGGCCTTTACAGACATCATGCCGGGCATGCCCTCCTCTTATTCCCGCTAACAGATTTCTACCTCTTCCAGAAGCTTCCATCAGTCACCTCTGCTGAAAAGCATCCCTTCTCTGGAACTTGCACATTGCTTCTCTACTCCACAGGACCCGGAATTTCCAGGTCACCGCTGATGCCAGCATTGGGTCCCCGTGTGCCGCTGAAGTCTGTATCCATCGTCAGGCCCCAGGGAACTGGTTTTATTTCAGAAAGCATGCTCTCTGGGGCTCACTATTTAGAGAGTGTCATGTGTCATGGGTGTGTGACCTCGGGCAGCTGTAGGGGCATCTCTAACTTGTCCTTTGGGCTTCTGCTCCCAGAGGAAGGGCTTGGGTAAGGTGGCTAATGGAGGAACTGATGTTTGTTTTCTCTGTTGTTGAGGAGTTTCTCAATGCTGGGACTTCTTAAATACAAGCCTGGCACACAGGCGGTATGGATAAATGTAGAGAAATCCAGTAACCACCTGCTAGGCATGTATGGGCTTCTCTACTACTCGACAGGATAATCACGGGGCATCTCAGGGAGGGATACAGAGCTCAGGACTGGCCTCTGTGAAGTCTGCACAGAGGCCAGGGACAAGCAGCTTTTCTAAGCCACACAGCAAATCAGGAACAGAGCTGAGTTCTCCAGATCCAGCCCCTGATGCTGATGGCTGAAATCACTGTTGTCCTGTTTACTGAGCACATACTCGGTACCAGGTACTTCATGAGTACAGGCTCATCTATTCTTTGGCAGATGGGGCAGGGAGCAAACCCTACCTCTCCCTGGACCCCAGCTGTTCTGCATAGACCTCGGGCAGCTCCCCAAAGCAACAAACTCTCCGCATTCCATCCTCTGGCAGGGCCCGCTGTGTCGCCATTATACCAGTAAGAAAACCTATGACACACATGCCATTATTTCCTCATTTCACCGAGAGGGAAAGGGCACTTGGAGAGCCAGGTATCTGTTGACTGGAGCTAGAGAGCTCAGGGAGCTGGGGCTTGGACCTGGACCCTTGCAGCCTAAGTCCCCTCTCGACCTCTGTCCTGCACTGTTGTCCTTAGGCCAAGTCCACACCCTCCAACGTGGCTGGCCTCCCTGAAGTCACCATTCCAATATTTGTCCTTAAAGAAGTTGTACGCTTTGATGGAAGAGACACCCAGAGCGCGTGGAGGTTTTGGGGATGGAGACGTGCTAGGGCATTGCTCTCAAGAGGATAACATGCCCATATCACTCTTCCATCAGCCTCAGTGACAGGCAGCCTCTGGGATGCCCCAGTGAGCCCCACCTGCTGGTATTTCTGACCTGTGTAACCCCTTCCCCTGCAGTGTAGGCTAGACCCATTGGCTTGTTATTGCAACAGAAGACAGCAAAACATCAACCAGCCAGGAACCATACCCAATTGATTATGAACTGGTGTGGCTATCGATGGCCCCCAGTCAGACCTGCAGAGGACTCCATAGCCCCAAGCACTGAGTAGAGCCATACCTTGATTCCAGACCCACGGGGCTGCTCAATCCTAAGTGCTTATTGTATAGGCTGCTGAACATAGGGCCCTTATCTGCAGGATATTGGTAAGTATACTAGGGTCTGTTAGTGCCAGGACCTGAGTGTTACTGACTACCAGACTGGTTTACAGTGATGAATCAGATGAACACTCTGCCCCCCTCTGTTGAGACTGAGCTGGAGGGATAGTTGGGACAGCGCTGTGGAAGCTGAGCGCAAGCTGTGATCAGCCTGGAATCAGGGGGAATTTGTGGCAAATCTGAAGGGAGGGAGCTGTGAGCAGCCGGCCTATAGGGAATGGAGCAGATGTAGGATTTAGTGAAAGCCTGGATGAAGGACTGAGGGCCTCAAATGCCACTCAAACCCAAGACTCATTCTGCCGGCTGGTGGGGAGGGGCCTGAGCTGAAGACGTGGCCTGTGAGCTGCAGCAACTGTATGGATAGCTGAGTGAGGCATAGCACGGGAGAGTTCCTGAGGCTGGGCCAGCAGAGAAAGGCTGGGGAGGAGACAGAAGTCCGCCCACTGAGGCAGCGGAGCTGACAAAATTCGGGGTCTAAATAGATAGGTAGGTGGAGTAGGGGAGAGGAAAGAAAGAAAATCTGGCAGGTTTTGGTGCCTGATTGTGCCTCTTATTAGGTGAGTGTACATAGGTCCTTGCTGGCAGAGGAGGGAAAAGGGATGAGTTGGCCTAGCTATATTTGCCTTGGTGCCGAAACAGAAAGCTAGGTAGGCAGTGCCAGGAACCCGAAGCTATTAGGCAGCCTGGGTCAGGAATGGTGAGGGCATCCCTACAAAGGAAATGGAAGAGTCCCGCCAGCACTCACCTGCTGCCCATAGCTCAGCGCCTTGTCGTAGAGTGCGATACCCGCCTCCAGCACCTGGGCACGCTCCTCTGGGCTGGCACAGCCCACGTCGAAGCCGTGTGCGTATCCCTGCTCTGCCAGGCAGCGGGCAGCGCGGAGCCGTGGGTCTCCTGAATCCTCGGGGTCCCCTGCCAGGCCCATGAGGCCGGCCAGTCGCGCGGCGCACGCCTCCTCCTCTTCCTCCTGGCCCAGCTGCCCGTAGACGTGTGCCAGATTGGCCCAGGCATTGAGGTTCCCAGGGTCTTCGCGGGCCACCTCCAGGAAACGCTTGCGGGCCTCGTCCAGCTCATCCAGATAAAAAGAAAAGGTTCCCAGGAGGTGACGCACGGCAGGCAGCTGCGGGGTGGCCACCAGCTCCAGCTCCTGCCGCAGACCCTCCCTTTGGAGCTTCAGATCCCGGGCGCGTAGCTGAACCGGTGAGCGCGGCTCAAAGTTGAGCTGCATCTCCAAATGAAAGTGGCCGGGCAGGTAGTCCAGTTCGTCGATGAGGGTGTCCAGATCCTCGGTCCCGGGCTCCATCATGGTGCCCCTGGGCTGCCCTGGCCCCTCCTAGCTCCCAAGTAGCTCCCAAGGCTGCGGAGGACAGTGGATGAGGGGCGGCTGTGAGGGAGCCCCGCACGACCGCAGGACAGTCCTGGGCACCTCTTGCGAGTGGGTGGCTCCTAGAGCCGGCCGAGGACTCGCCCTGTAGGTGTTTCCGCTTTCGCTGCTAGACATCAGCATTGCACAAGCAGGTGTGCCTGAAAAACAGGTGTGGTCCAAATGCAAGGCTCACCAACTTGTTGAGTGGCAAAGGCAGATTTTGACTACTCAGCAGACGAAGAAATAGGTTCAGAAGAGAAAGGTGCTGGCCAAGGTCACAGAACCAGGGCATGCCTAAGGAGACCTGGTACCTCAGGTTGCCGAGGCCGGCCAGATCCTTCCTCAATTGGTACTGCTCCGCCCTCCACACAGAGCTGTCAGGACAGGCCCTTCCAGCCGTGCAAGCGTCCTTCATTCTAGCGCTTGTAGTGTGTCCTTCCACAGAACACAGCAGGCCACTGCCCTCCAGTCTTTTTCCAGCCGGTTTGCATCTGGCCTGTCACTTGAATACCTTTACTCCGCAGTGAACCCGGACGGCAAGAATAAGGCACCCAAGAGCTGTGTCTACTTTTGCTTCTCCGTCCCTAATAAAGCACAATTCCTGTTTATCGGCTGTCCTCTTCCGTGTTATGATGCAGACACCTAAGGGGGGGGGGGGAAGCGGGAGAAAGATACTTTGTAAGCTGATGAATGACCGCTCTGGATATGTGTGGACTCCGAACTGGTGCCCAGCTGGTCCTGCTGCCTGCCCCGGATCCCAGTTTTCTTGCTCTACCCTGTCTCCTCAGGTTGGAGCTGGCTCTAGAGTGCGGGTCGGACTGTGTGGCAAGGCAAAGTCCCTGTAGACTAGGCTTCTCGGCGGTCTGGACCTTGGACTCTTCTGCCCTCATCCTGTGTTTGGGCTCTTGCCTCATCCTCCTCAGAAGGATTTCACAAGAGAAAATAGACTTGTTAGTGAAGCTGAGGAAAATACGACTTCAGCAGTATTTTCAAGTCAAAACATCTGGGAGCCGGGCGGTGGTGGCGCACGCCTTTAATCCCAGCACTCGGGAGGCAGAGGCAGGCGGATCTCTGTGAGTTCGAGGCCAGCCTGGTCTACAAAGGGAGTTCCAGGACAGGCTCCATAGCTACAGAGAAACCCTGTCTCGAAAAACAAAACAAAACAAAACAAAACAAAACAAACAAACAAACAAAAAACATCTGGGTGCTGTCTTTACCTACTAGTTTTAGATTTAATATTTTTTAGTGCAAAACTTACTATACGTTACTGTCCATCATGAGATGAAACAATCTCTCATTGCTTTGGATTATCAGGGAGAGATTTCCAGAAAGCTTTGCTTTTTGATTTTTTGTTTTCAAATTGCAGCAGTATAGTTAATATAAAAATTTCCATTTGACTTAAAAAAACATTTTATTGTATGTGTTTGTGTGCTGGGGGCACACGTGTCATGGGTACCCCTATGTAGCTTTCAGGAGTCAGCTTTTTCCCGTTATTTAGTTTCTGGGGGTTCAGGTTGTCAGGCTAGGTAGCAAGGGCCCTTTACCTGTTGAGTCACCTCCCCAGCTCAATTTTACCAGTTTCTGTTTGCTGTTTTTTAGAGACAGGGTCTTTCCACGTCTCTCTGGCTGGCCTGGAACTCGCTATAAAAACCAGCCAGGCGGTGGTGGTGCACTTTAATCCCAACACTTGGGAGGCAGAGGCAGGTGGATCTCTCTGAGTTCGAGACCAGCCTGTCTATGAGCTAGTTCCAGGACAGGCTCCATAGCTACAGAGAAACCCTGTCTCAATAAACTAAATAAATAAACAAACAAACAAACAAATAAAAGCCAGGCTGTCCTCAAAACCACACAGGTAAGTCTGCGCTGCTCTTTGGGGGCACACTACCACACCCAGCCGTTCTAACTGGGTTTTAATATGTTTAGTGACATTAAACATATTCACATTATCACCTCCTTTCATTTCTGAAACTTTTCCATCTTCCAAAGTTGAAACTCTATATGTCTACTTAAATAACTCCCATCAGATGTGGTGGCTCATGTTTTAATATCGGTTACTCAGTAGGAGGCTGAGGCAGGAGCATTGCTAGCTCAGAGCTCATCAGAATGCCTGGAAACATATGAGACCTTATTTCAAATAAAGTTTTTTACAAGAGTTGGGGATGTAGCTCGGCGATGGAGATAGGATTCCAGCCCAGTTCCCGTCCCCTCCTCCAAATCCTCATGTGCCTGGTAACTGCTATTCTATGCTCTTTCCACAGTTGAATACTCTAGCACTTTGTGTAAGTGAAATAATATTTGTTCTTTTATGCCTGGCTTGTCATTTGGCATAACGACTTCAAGCTTAATCCATGATGTAGCATGAGTAAAAACTTCCCTTTCTATTTTTTATTTTTTAACTTTTCTTTCCAGACAGGGCCTCTGTGTGGTCCAGGCTGACTTCACACTCACTACGTAGCCCTGGATGGTCTGGAACTCTCCTCTTGCTACAGGATCTCAAATATTGGGATTATATTATGGTGCACACCACCACTGTTGGACAGTGTTTCCTCCCTTTTCAAGGGTGAGCAGTATTCATTCCAAGGTCTGTTTGTCTGTGCCTATCACTCCTTGTCTATCCATCATTTGCTGGTAAACACATGGGTTGTGGTTATTGTGAATGATGCTGCTACAAACAGGGGTACTGTGTGTGTGTGCCCGTGGGTGTGGAATGTGTGTGCATATGTATGTGTGTTTGGGTGTGTGCAGGTGTGGAATGTGTGTGTGTGTTTGGGTATCCTGCCTTCAGTCTTGTGGCACAAGTGGTATTGCTGGGCCGTGTTATAGTTCTGTTTTATTCTTTGAGGAATCACTATACTGTTTTACAGTATGTTCCCATCAACAAAGCACAGAGGTTCCAGTTTCTCTACATCCTTGCCGGCACATGTCTTCTTCTCTAATTCTGTTCACATTAACATTCTGATGGGTGGGCTAGGCTTTTGAGCTGACTCGAAGAAGATGAGTAGGAGTTGGGAGGGAAGGGAGTAAGTGTGTTGCGGAAGCTGGAAAAGTTTGAAAAGGCCAGGGGTTTCTCAACGCAACTTAGGCTAGAGCTGCCCCAACCTGGAGCTCACAGAGTGTGGGAGGGAGGTGACAAGAGATAAGATGTAAAGGTAGTGGCGGAAGCCCCTCACATCCCGGCTGAGAAGCTCGATTTGTTCGCACGGACGATGGAGTCTGGGTAGGTGAAACTCTTGCAGCTACAGATCTCTCAAGCCTGGGTGGGCTGTGTGACCCCCATTATTATTCCTTTAAAAACGGCGGCGGTGGGGCGTGTGGACAAACACAGGATAGGCGAGACACGTGCAAAGAAGAGACGAGACACGCGGCTCCCACGTGGGTGCGCTTTAATGGGGAGAGGGAAACACAATAAGGGATGGGGTGTGCGAGACACACAAGGGTAGGGGGTGAGAGAGAGCGAGACCTCGTGGAAGCTCGCTTTTTAACGGGAAGCGCAAGGTTATCTGGGAGGAATGACCCGCACCTGGGCACGCCAGCGCGCCAAGGTGTTCGTACTCCAGGAGGAGTCTGGGAGCTGTAGTTTCCAAGGAATAACACCCATGCCTTATTAGATGTGACCAAGACAATTTATTCTGTCAGTGCCTTGGCTTCCTTTCCTCCAGCGTGAGCGTGGGCATGGAGAGTGTGATAGCACCTATGAAAGAGAGTGAATTCATTGGCCAGACAAAGAAGTTTCTATAACGAGGAAGGGTTGGACTGTCCAGGGCAGTGGCCTCTGAGCAGTGGCCTCAGGGCAGTGGCCTCTGAGCAGTGGCCTCAGGGGAGTGGCCTCAGTACAGGGCTGACTCACACTGGCCCACGGACCTTGGTTTTGTATCTTGTACCACCCCTTCAGCCAGCCTGCAGCCAAGAGATCACTTAAAAGAAAAGATGCAAGCAGCTACAGCCATCCCACAAGAGTGCCTAAGGAGGCCCAGATTGGTAGAAGAGCCTTCTGCTCGGTGCAAGGTCAGCCACAACTCCATGACACTTCAGCGTAGCTCTCCAAGGAAGCTCCCTTCATATGTCCTCTCCCAGGTGGGGGCCTGGAAGCCCCGTGAGCACATTGTGTCTAGGAGAGAGCTAGGGAACAGCAAAACCAGGCTAGAAAACAGTAAAACCAGCCTTCAAATGTACGAGTCCCTGAGAAACTGGGCTACATTCTTTTATCCCTTTCTCATCATGCAACAGATATGTACTGCACATTTCCTAAGTGTGCTGGGTCAAGAGAGAAGGACACAATCTCTTTCCAAGGCGAGGAATGACTCTGAACTCTTGCGCCTAAAGTAGGTCATTTAATCCTCTCAGGAATCTGGGAGCTGAAGTGTTGCTTCATTCTCCAGGTAAGACTTAGAGAAGGCAGTGACTTTCCTGAGGTCTCAGGGCTGGGGAGGGATGGAGGCCGTGGCTGGTGCCTCTGATCACCAGTTTCAGTGGTTGTACCGTGGCACTCTATCAGCTACAGGGGCCTGGAGTCAGACGTCCAGCTCTCCATTTAAACACCAGCTTTGGTGGTGTGTGTGTGTGTGTGTGTGTGTGTGTGTATGTGTGGTGGTGGTGGTGGTGGTGTGTGTGTGTGTGGTGGTGGTGGTGGTGGTGGTGGTGTGTGTGTGTGTGTATGTGTGGTGGGAAGGGTAAGAGGCCCGCTGTGCCTCTGGGTTGCCATTGGTTGGATGCAGGACTGTGTATATCCTCTGTCTAACCCCAGTTACCCTGACAGGATCTAAGCAATGGGGTGCAGATAGATGTTTGTTCTATCTCTGCTGACCGGCCTTGGCAGGATCAGAGATAAGGATGGAGGCACAAGACATTTTCCTAGCACAGCCAGAGGATGCTATCTGTGGGAGAAGGTAGTAGGCAGAAGAGCTGGTCATGCCAGGTTGGGACACCCTCCCTTCTTTCTTCATTTCGCGACTGCTTCCTTGTTTGCGATTCTACTGTCTAAAGCTTTCCCTGAAGTACTTGGCCCATAGGCTGGGTCCCACCCCCACCTCCTCCCCTCAGTCTGGCCAAGCTGCGAAGGATGTTGTTTTCCTCACTATACACAGAAGACAGGAACAACCTTTGGGTTGCAGACATTCTTCAGGGTCTGCTCAGAGCGGATGTCTGAGGATGGACCAGTCCCGATGGTACTACATCCTACATCCTACATCCTAGATCCTTCACCCATCTCTTCACCTTATTTGCCCTCCGCGTGCTCCATCCTCTTTGCCCTCCCGGAGTTCCTTCCAGTAGAGAGGGAACAGAATTCCAAGTTTGCTCTCCCGTTTGTTTCCCTCAACACAAGGAGAGCACGAAGGCAATTCCTGAGCCTGGGCTTTACCAGGTCCAAGCATAGAAAAAAAAAAATCACCAAGTGAAAGGAACACTCTCATTAAACCCCGGGAGGGATTCTAAGGTCTGCAGGATCCCAAGAAGTGTCTCTGGCAAGGCCGCGTTG